CAGCAGGAAGGGGACTGACTGCAGGCGTGAGCAGGGCATCATCCCGGGCGTGTTCCCGCACCTACAGAGCTGGCAAGGCCCGAGGCCCTGCCGCTGCACCCTCGTCAGTCCTCTACCCAAACCCAAGGAAGGAGAGGAAACCACTCACTCACCTTCAACAATCTTTGGAAAAGGAGAAAAACAAAAGAGAAATACACAATTAATTTGACATAAAATATTCTGTATTCTTTTAAACTCTTAAACAATAAAATTGAAGCATTTGTTTCAAATGCAAAATCCTCAGGAGCAGCAAAGCCTCCCAGCAGCTGACACGCTGCGCCCCAGCCTGCAGGTGTTTAGTGAGTCTCTGGGAGCTGCGTGACCTGGGGAAGTTCCATACCCTCAGGAACTGCCAACTTCCTCTTCTGAAAACCAGCGCCCCCTCGCTGCTGTCAGAACTAAGTGAGATCACAACGATGCCACAGGGCACCGGCGGCCTGAAGCTCACAACCAGCTCCACCCGTTCTCCTTGTCTTCACTCCACGTGGGCTACTGCCGGAGACGGAGCCTTTACTGGCAGAAGGGTTTGCAGTGCTTAATACTTTATTAAAAATAATTAAACAGCCGAAGTACGCCATGCAGGGACTATGGAGAGTAGCATACACCAAGGACTGAGATCAATCCAATCCTGTGTTCAAGGCCTACAGAAAGAGCTAGTGAGGACCTGACAAGCCCATCGCCTGACTACAGGCACACCTGTGCTTTGCTTTACTGTGCTTCACAGATACCGCGTTTCTTACAAATTAAAGGTTTGTGGCAACCCTGTGTCAAGCAAGTCTATTGGTACCATTTTTCCAACATCATTTGCTCACTTCGTGTCTGTGTCACTTTTCAGTAATTCTCACAATACGTCAAACTTGCTCATCATTATCATATTCGCTTTGGCAATATGTGATCGGTGATCTCTGATGTTACTACTGTAATTGTTTTGAGCACCATGAACCTCACCCATACAAGGTGATGAACTTAATTGATAAATGTGTGTTCTGACTGCTCCACAGAACAACTGTTTCATGACTCCCTCCCTCTTTTTGAGCCTCCCTACTCCCTACACACAACAATATTGAAATTAGGCCAATTAATAATCCTACAATAGGGACTTCCCTGGTGATCTAGTGGTTGGGACTCTGCCCTCCCAAAGCAGGGGGCCCGGGTTCGATCCCTGGTCAGGGAACTAAAGCCTGCATGCCACAACTAAAACAGCCCACGTGCCACAACTAAGACCCAGCACAGCCAAATAAATAAATGAATAAATAAATATTAAAAAATATATATCCTACAATAACCTCTAAGTCTTCAAATGAAAGGAAGAGCTGCACATGTCTCACTTTAAATCAAAACCTAGAAATGATTAAGGTTACTGAGGAAGGCATGTCAAGCTGAGACAGGCCTAAGCCAGGCCTCTTGCGCCAGCAGCCAAGTCGTGAATGCAAAGGAAAAAAGCTCTTGAAGGAAATTAAAGTGCTCCTCCAGTGAACACACAATGATAAGAAAGTGAAACAGCCTTACTGCTGATGTGTAGAAAGTTTGAGTGGTCTGGATAGAAGATCAAACCAGCCACAACATTCTCTTAAGCTGAAGCCTAATCCAGAGCAAGGCCCTAACTCTCTTCAATTCTCTGAAGGCTGAGAGAGGTGAGGAAGCTCCGCAACAGGAGAGGCCACAGCAGTGAGAGGCCCGCGTACCGCAAAAAAAAAAAAAAAAAAAATTAAGGAAGGCAAATTGTCATAATGTGCGATTGCACACTTAATAGACTGCAGTATAGCACAAACAACTTTTTTACATGCACTGAGAAACGCAAAGGTTTGTTGTGTCTTGCTTTACTCACTTTACTATGGTGGTCTGGAACTGAGCCCACCATCTCCAAAGTGTGCCTGTACTCAGAACTTGTTAAGATTCTTTTCTGCAACAGTTTCAAACCTGTCAAGTCAGCTCTCACTGAGCTACTACCTGTCTGTCTACACCATCACCAGTAGCACCCCTTTTCCCTCTCGCTTGTGTGTGTGATCAGCTATTTCAGGAGAGCTCTCAGGATTGCTGTTGAAAGCCCTGCTGCCACCTCTCCTTGGCTGCCCCTGTGTTCAGGGGGCACAGAGGCTGGCCCTTTCTGGCACACCATCCCATTGAGTTGGGAAGCTCAACTCTATTCCAACTCCCTTGCAGTGGGGATTCTAGACATGAACTAAATTCCCTCAGTGAGATACACTCATGCTATTTGGGGGGCAGAAGGGTGGAGGACAATTTCAGCTGCTGTAGGTGGACACAGATGCGGGGATCAAGAGGCAGTCGTGGCCGAGGCTGCAATGTCCAAAGCCCAGGTCTGTCCTCCCAAGCAAGGAGACACAGTAGCATTTCCTTGAGCCCAAAGAGATTAGTACAGGTGGTAGCTGCCCCCTCCCATCCTTCTGCTTGGAGCAGAGGTAGCAGATCCCATGGTGCGTCAAGGCTGAGATGTCCGGAGTTATTCCTAGACACCTGCTCCTCCAGCCTTTACAACACCACGAAGCAACTCCTCCCGTGTATTTTTTTTTAATTAATAAATTCATTTATTTATCTTTGGCCGTGTTGGGTCTTCATTGCTGTGCGCGCGTTTTCTCCAGTTGCGGCGAGCAGGGGCTACTCTCCGTTGCCGTGCGCGGGCTTCTCATTGTGGTGGCTTCTCGTCGCGGAACACGGGCTCTAGGCATCCGGGCTTCAGTAGTTGTGGCACACAGGCTCAGTAGTTGTGGCTCGCGGGCTCAGCAGTTGTGGCTTGCGGGCTCTAGAGCGCAGGATCAGAAGTTGTGGCGCACGGGCTTAGTTGTTCCCGCAACATGTGGCATTCTTCGCGGACCAGGGATCAAACCTGTGTCCCTTGCACTGGCAGGTGGATTTTTAACCACTGCCCAGTGCCACGAGGGAAGACCCCTCCCCCCATGTATTAAAATCCATTTCTGCTCCAGAATAACTAGAGCAGATTCGGTTTTTCCAACCTCAACCCTGCCAAACACAAATGACCATCACAGGAAGGAAGGAGGTCTGAGCATAAAGATCTTCATTTTGCAGATGAGAAGCCACTGGAGACACTTCCCCTTGCCCCCAGAAGAAGCTGGAAAGTGTAACTGTGAAACTGGCGACAGTCAACTTCATCACCAGGACCATGACCTGGAAGACAAGCTTGGGCTGGCAGAAGGTGCTGTCCATATGAAGTCTATAAGGGGAGCTCTGAAGTTAGCCAAGAGCAGAAGGAAATTCTGCTGTGGGCAGGGAAGACCCCAGTTTTCCTCCACTCCAACACTGCTTTTACTGCCCTTTGCCAAGAAGGACTACTGACCAGGTGTGGATGCACCTGGAAGAAATGTGATGCCACTGGGTCCCAGGCCACCAGAATGTGGCAACCAGGTCTCCACAGGCTCTTATGAGCCAAACCCAGCACGCCTCTTGGCAGTGCCAAGCCAGGGCCGGACCTGAACACTGAGCCCCCAGGAAAGTCCCAAGGCCCAGGATGCTGCTGGCACAACGGCAGGTGCTCCATACTTAACTACTAGGTAAATGAATACACGGTGGCCAGAGAGCCTCCTTCACTGGTGATGACTCTGTCCCCATCCATGTTCAATGAAAGAACAGCTCAGAGATGAGGCTTCTTGCCCAAAGGGCAGAAAAGAATGGCACCACAGCCTGGCCTCCAAGCTCCATGACTTTCTGTGACCCGGAGCCACCTCCTAGCTGATGGAGGTGAGATACTATCACTGGTATTCCCTCCACCCAGCAGCCGAATCGCAACAAATCGAGAACTCTGGACTTCCCTGGTGGCGCAGTGGTTAAGAATCCACCTGCCAATGCAGGGGACACGGGTTTGAGCCCTGGTCCGGGAAGATCCCACATGCCACAGAGCAACTAAGCCCGTGTGCCACACTACTGAGCCTGCGCTCTAGAGCCCGCAAGCCACAACTACTGAGCCCACGTGCTCTAGAGCCCGCAAGCCCAACTACTGAAGCTTGCACGCCTTGAGCCTGTGCTCTGCAACAAAAGAAGCCACTGCAATGAGAAGCCCGCACACCGCAACCAAGAGTAGCCCCGGCTCACCACAACTAGAGAAAGCCCGTGCACAGCAGCGAAGACCCAACACAGCCAAAAAAACAAAAGAAAAAAATCAAGAACTCTGCAGGTGCTCTGGAATGTCCCTTCCCCGTGGCCATAGCCCTGCATGTAACAAAGTGCTTACCTACACAAGAGACAGAGGTGGGGAAAAGCATTGGGGCTTCAGAAATGTTGACTCTAGGAGTAAACAGATGCAAATAGGAATAATACAAGCTCTTGGGCCTCTCATCTGGCTGAGAGGCCTTTCAAAGAAACAAAATACCAAACGGAAACAATTCCCCAGTCCCCCGTACAGCCAAATCAACACTGTGAAAAACTGGCTCAAGCTCAGACCCACACATTCCACCCCACTTTCAGCCTGGCTTCTCTTTCCTGACTCTAGAATAAACTACAGGCAGTGTGTCAGAGACAAGTGGAGACACGTGGAGCATAAACAACCCACAGTAGCACCGGCGCCGCCTGCCTCCACACCCGGGCACACTGACTCCATGTCAGGCACCCAGAACCCCTGTGGGCTTCTGAAGCACAAGTGAGCCTCAGAACACCTGCAAACACTGACTCCCGGGTCACAGACTCCTGGTCAGTGGGGCAGGATAAGCCTTTCTTCTTCTCCTAGAGGACAAAACGCTTGGCATTCTTAGGGCTACAGCAACATGCTGGGGTTAAATAACAGAACGGAACCAAGTCACAGGGTCACTAGGGTCCTCTGTAGGCAAGCTGACCTCTGGCATTTCTAAGAAAGCTCGTCCAGCTGGGAGCTCAGAGAGCCGCTTGCTTTAAATGACCTTCCTAGGCAGCATGGCACATCATTCCACTGGAAGAAACAACCATATGCAACCACTGTGCCCACAAAGGATACTCCTCACATCCAACAGGCGCACACATCACACAATTACAGAGTACTTTTACTGTAGCACCGCCACGAGCACCAGGAAGACTGGTGCTGACGTGAACATCCCAGTCGAGTGAGCCATCATGTCAGATTCCACGGACAACTGTTTCACTTCCCCAATTCTTGGATATGATGTCTGGCCTCTTCTTCC